AATATTCAGAAATGGTGCAGATACATATCGCCGCCGGAAAACCGCAGAAATGGGCGCTGCATGTTCACAAACCAAAGACGCACCCCTTCACTCTGGAACTTCATGATTTTCAGCCAAGCCTTCATGTCATCGACGACAGAGTCGTCGCGCCCTGATGGCGGTCTGTCGCGCCGATACTCCACCTCGAACTGCTTCTCTGTCAGCAACCTGGTCACAGCTGCAATCGAAGTGTCAGTATGGGCCATGTTTCTGCAGGATAAGAAAACCGAAAGGGGATAGTCACTCACTTTACAACACTCTCTGCGGATTCTGCATTGTTGAGCTGCGAGTGGTGTCCCTTGGGATCGTAGTGCACAATACGCGTCTTCCAGTTGATCCACCCACGCTCCTTCACCAAATCATCGGGGTGCAGAACGACCAGCAAGCTCACCTTGACCCCTGGCGGGGGCTTGCACATGCAATATAATAGGATGCCATCGTCAGCGCAAGCAGAGCAAACCGTAGGGCATGGCAGATTGGCAGACATCAATCCCACTCACTTCTTCACCAGAGGAATCGCCACGACCTGCTTCTGCAGCATGCAATCTGCGTAGGACGCCGCCAACGGCCAAGGAGGCTTCTTCGAAGTGACCCTCTGTGAAATGGCACTCGATGGCACAATGAGGAGTTGGTCGCGATCCTTCGGGCTCAAAAACCTGTTGGCAAAGTACCTGCATAGAAAGCGCATAGACGATTCACAAGCTCAAAACAACTTCTGCGAGGCGGATTGGCGGCACAACCACATGACTGGTTGGGTTTAACTGTTTTTAGCATCTGTGGTATGGCAGAAAGGCATTGAGCCACGTTTGGTAAAGGTGCATTTTTGCCTAATTAGTCAACCGCAGACACAAAGGGCCGATTGTTTGGATCTAACGATCTTCTACGAAAACGGGCTACGGCAGAAACACGGTGCAAACAATCAGATTTACAAAGAAGTTTTCAAACAGGGTTGGCGGCAGAAGTGCCATGCTGTCACTGCAGACTACCGAGTACGCTAAACAACCTGGAAAAAAAATGGTGACGACAGTCGGTTTTAATAAGAAATTTGCAGAGAGCGTTGGCGGCAGAAAGGACTAGTTGTCTCTGCAGACGTGAGGGCTGCAGAAACGAGAAGGAGCGTATCTGCGAGAATCCTAAAACTAGATGGAACGGAAAGACTCACGAGAAAGCGGCGTTGATGAGAGATTCATTCAGTTCGGCAAAATAGTCCTTGGCACTGTCGTAGTCCTCGCGGGTGAGGTGGGCGGTGAGTCCTCCACCAGAGACCTCAAGGGTAGCCATGGCCATTGCAGCAACTATGCTTAGGGATGCGTGAGCAATAAAGAGCTAGGAGAAGAATGAGTTTTTGAAAGTTGGAAAGGAGAAATGACGTCCAAAGCAGACCCCCTCTCCCAAGTCATTGTTTCTAGGATGTTAGACTCACTTCGCCGGGGTGCGTTCAGTATCGCAGGTGATCGCCAGATCTACCGACCAGATTTCTTCGAGCCAAAGAAGGTTTAGTGTCGACCGTGAGGGACCATTCGGGCGACCATGGTCACCACGTGGCAGACAGTCGAACCATAGAGGTCACTTCAAACCTCTCTTTGGCGCGCCTTGAAAAATTGCCTTTCAAAGCTCGGCGCAGAAGCGTGCGGCAAATATTTTTGAGAGGTTGCCGCATGGCAGGGATCGGACGGCAGATTTCGTTTCCACGTCCATTGTTCATGGCCGTTGCTTTTGTGCACTTCTACAGCCTCATCGCCAGCACCAGTAAAAGTGGGAACAATTTCTGTAGAACTCTAGAACAAGTATTGCCGTAAATGGATATTAGAAAAGGCCCAAAGCCCAATTCCGTGAGCCAAAAGGGCCCAAATTTGAGCTGGACGTAGGTCTTGCATAGGGCTACCTTGAGGTCACTTCAAAACTCGCTAAAAAGGATGCACGATTGTGAAAATGGCAGTATGTTTCATCAAGGGGTAAGGTTGGAAAAAAATACCCCCCTTGGGATATAAAAAAAGGCACACAGCCCAATTTCGTGAACCAAAAGGGCCCAAATCTGAACTGGAGGTAATTCTTGCATAGGGCTACCTTGAGGTCACTTCAAAACTTGCTAAAAAGGATGCACAATCGTGAAAATGGCAGAATGTTTTATCAAGGGGTAAGGTTGGAAAAAAATACCCCCCTTGGAATATTAAAAAAGGCCCACAGCCCAATTTCGTAAACCAAAAGGGCCCAAATTTGAACTGGAGGTAGGTCTTGCATAGGGCTACCTTGAGGTCACTTCAAACCTCGCTAAAAAGGATGCACAATCGTGAAAATGGCAGTATGTTTTATCAAGGGGTAAGGTTGGAAAAAAAATACCCCCCTTGGGATATTAAAAAAGACCCACAGCCCAATTTCGTAAACCAAAAGGGCCCAAATTTGAACTAGAGGTAGGTCTTGCATAGGGCTACCTTGAGGTCACTTCAAATCTTGCTAAAAAGGATGCACAATTGTGAACATTATTATAATCAGAATAGGCTCAGATGTGCCTAAAATGAGAGAAATTGTGCACAGTCAGAATTCCGTCAGACAGCTTCAAATATTGATGTCGAACTGATCTGTGCCTCAAACGGTGATCTGTAAATTGGATCTAGAGTGCGTTGCTATCGCCTATCAACAGCAAGTTGAATCATAAAATTCTATGAAGATTTGACGACGCTATGGCGGTTTGACTGGCAGGAGGTACAGCAGCCACTAAAGTCTTAGGAGTACAAACTTAGCAAGAAGAGTTCGAGATGGAGATGATTCCCAGCCTCTACATACCCCAGGAACCGAGGTCCAGGTTGGTGGTACACCACCACAGAGTCCCCAACCATGAAGAGTCTCGAAACAAACCCTCCAAGGGGCTACACCAAGTGAAATGTAACACTACACGAAGTAGCGTTACTATTTTCACTATCTAATATTTATCCGTGTCCCTTGGGCTTGAAATCTTGAGCTCTTGGTCTTGGTTCTGCAAGATAAATTCTTCTTGAGTTGATGGGGGCTTGCTGCACACACCTGCGACGCGATGGACACTTCACACTCGACAAATGGAAAATACACATGCGACACGCAAACGACGACTTGACATGCGAGTTGTAAAAACTCGCTAATGTCTTGACCGACACAAACCACATTGTGATACACCATTCAAACACACATACAAGCACTAGATAGCAATGACATAGACTCACAATTCATTCCACGCCATGCATGCACACACGCAAACAAGGACGACAAGCCGAGTGCAAGCCATAGGGTTGCACCAACAAACTCCCCCTCGGATTGTTGGCCTTGGAATCTGCTCCCCTTAGTTCAGAGCCATCCCAGCAAGATTGCAACACTTCCAATGCTGCTGCTCAACCAGCCTCTTTGTCATCATACCAGCAGGCTATGCCGTCGTCTTCACGTAGTGCAACTCGACTTCACCCGAAGTTACCACGCTCCTTACCCAATGTCACTTGACCTTCATGTGCTTGGTAAGGCCATGAAGAACCGGGTTCTTAGCCAATGCAATAGCACCCTGGCTATCACAATAAAGTGGGGTAGGTCCTTGCTGCTCCTACCCCAATTCAGCTAGCAAACGGCGCTGCCAAACAACCTCCCTTATGGCACGGAAGAGTGCCATGTACTCAAACTCCACCGAGCTCAATGCTTGGTCCACTTGTTTCTTGCTCTCCCAAGCTGTTGGGCCTCCACCAACACAGCAGATGAAGCCTCCCACACTTGTCATGTCCTCTGGTTCTGATGCCCAAGATGCCTCAGAGAAAGCGGTGAGAAGGAGCCTCCCGGGTTCGACTCCATCCGCACCCTTTTGACGCCTTTGTGCCGCCGCAGGGTATTGCAGTCCAACAGTTGCAGGTAGTAGGTCTTGCATAGGGCTACTTTGAGGTCATTTCAAACCTCGCTAAAAGGATGCAGAATCGTGAAAATGGCAGTATGTTTTTTTCAAGGGGTAAGGTTGGAAAAAAAATACCCCCTTTGGGATATTAAACAAGAGACGACGTAATCGTCTTAGGGTTGCGGAGCATTTTTATATAGATATATTTATTGTATTTAAAATTGCCCGCATGTATATGTATAACTTCAAAGCGTAAGTATCTGTAAACTTCTAACAATGGATTAAAACATATACTATGTAAGTATTCAATAGATGATTTGTGTTATAGTGCATTAATAAAAGTACATGCAATCACAATGTTAATGCATCTAATACAAGTAGGACATATCATTGAGTTTCTACATTGTTTACACTATATAGAAATGGGCTTTAAGTTTTTCATCGTCCGACACTGTTCTTAAATCGTGCCATGCTGTTGGAACTGGTTTCTTTTGTTGTTCGTTTCTGCTTGTACAGTTTCTTGAATAGTTTTGTTCCTTATTGCTCAACTGTAGACCTGTTTCCGTAATGTTTCTTTTGTTTTGCGTGCGTTTGGATTGTTTTGTTTATTTTTTTACCTTTCCGCCAAATGCCCAGCCGTCGGGAGTTTCCGTTTTCATTTTGTTTAATTATTTGTTGACTGTGGCCACTGTTGACTTGTGGCGAGCGAATCTGGCCACCTGGCAATGCTGTTATTTTTTTTCCAGTGGCGAGGCTCGTCACGCGTAACTGCCAGACGGAAATATAATCCGACGTGGCAATGACACCAGCCTAGCAACACTCGCCACAGAATGCTGATTTTTTTTCCCGTCAATAAGAGGCAAAACCCCCGAGCTCGCCACTGGATGCATTACGCGTTACACACTCGAATTTCAGAGTTACACTACCGATAGTTTTGGTTAAATAACACGATTACGCGAATTTCAGTGCGATGGGGCACTTTCTGACCGAGAAAAAAACAAATCTTCTTTCAGAGCTGCAAAACCGCGGCTGTTTGAACGCACCTTCTCTGCTTGCGGGTTCAGAGCTGCAGAAACGTGAATTCCTTATGCTCGATTCTTCCTCCTCTAACTTCTGTCTCACGTTTTTCTCTTCCCCACTTCCAGCAATTCCTGATTCTAGATCTGGTGATTAGGCAGCAACATGACAGCAGCTACGACTGCCTTTTCTTATCGCAGCTGTACGACAGACTACTCCAGGTCGGCATTAAGAGTGGCTTGATGACATTTTCGTGTAGTCGTATCTTACTAGTTTCTCTATGTTTCTTCTCTCGTTTTTTCCTCAAGCTAGTAGAGGAAACGTAAATGGTCTCTTTCAGCTCAGGTACTCGGTACGGATTCTCATCTGTCGTTTCCCCTCTCCTTTGCCCGCCTTTTCACCCTCCTAGTCCGTCGTAACCACTTCTTTGCCCGTCGTCTCCCCCCTCCTTGCATGTCGTTTTACCTCTCTCTCTCTCTCTCTCTCTCTCTCTCTCTCTCTCTCTCTCTCTCTCTCTCTCTCTCTCTCTCTCTATCTCTCTCTCTCTCTCTCTCTCTCTCTCTCTCTCTCTCTCTCTCTCTCTCCCTCTCTCTCTCTCTCTCTCTCTCTCTCTCTCTCTCTCTCTCTCTCTCTCTCTCTCTCTCTCTCTCTCTCTCTCTCTCTCTCTCCCTCTCTGCCTCTCTCTACCTCTCTGCCTCTCTCTACCTCTCTTTCAACTTCTCTCTCGTCCTCTCTTTCCTTTCACCATCACATTTTGTGTTAACTTCCCATGCCCATTCGTTCTCGCCCTAGCTGCTTGTTGTTCACTCATTTCATACGCAATGCCTAATATAATATCCACTTTAATTTTGTGCAGGTTTTCTTGTAAACGCGTTTATGAGTTCCCTACGGCGTTTTGTTGTAATTCGTTGGGATGTTCGATTATCTCATTTTCAGCTTTATATTCTTATAATTGCTGGCGTCCTGTGTTTGGTCTGATGTGTCTTGCTGCTGTTATTTGCTCTCATTCTCGATCCACAGCAATGTATGTCTGTATTTCGAAAAAAGAAAGCATGCTTATCAAATCACAAACGGTTCACAGGCGAGCTCCTTGAGTTTCTGTCTCGAACTGGATTTGATAGGTTTTGGTTCTTTTTTTGGACATTACAGATTGCGTTGCTCCATCATTCAGACACTAGGCTTGCTGACTTCCCCCCCATGCTAGCGCTGGGGAAGCGGTAGCTTAGAGTTTGAGTTTTTCACTGTCACATAATCATCAATTTTTTTTTCATGTCATGAATGATGACATGAATTTTCTTGCACGCCTCGATTGGATCCGTACACATCGATGTGATGCAATCAAACAAGAGGCATGCCAAAATTTCACAGTATACCAGAAATCAACCAAATATAATGCAAATATTATTTCAAAATATATGCATTTGATTCCTATCATAGAATAAACACCTCTAGCATTTTGTTACATTCATAGGAAGAGAACAAAAACTGCAGGTCATATTTTATTGTGCAAAGGTTTTCCATCCAAACTTTTGAGTGAAAAAAAAAAATCGGCAAAATCGATCGTAATAGGTTGCTCCGCAACCCAAAAAGACCCACAACCCAATTTCGTGTGTGTGTGTGTAACGAAACGAAACGATGCGATAGGTTGGTGGTGGTGGGCCGAAACGAATTCTGGTGTGCACCCTTGGCTGAAACGCGATTTGCCGATGTGTCACCTCTGAAGTACGGAAAAAACGAGCCACCCCCCCATCAGATCAGAAAACCCCGCTAATGTTGATGATTGAGAACTGTTCGTGGTGCGTCAGATTAGAAAGACGCTACTTTTAGGTTGCGAGAACTGATCTACACCGTACAGATCAGCCGCTCAAAGTTGCTGATCTATCAGCAAATTACCCAAATGTATATTAGCACGCTCATCAGGTTCCGCGCGGGAATGCCTGACGGGCAATCCCCGTACACCGCTCGTCAGGTCACCATGAGGCCGATGCGCGGAAGAGGACACCACCAATTTCGATTCACATCACGAATCACACCATCCAGACGGACTCCGTCAATAATTCAGTGAGATTCAGACGCAGGAACACCAACAGACAGATGCCGTCAAATGCCTGCTAGAAAAGCTGTAGCGCGGAAAGGAAGTGCATTTCTAGCGAAAATGAGGTCGTCCGCGTAATTGCGTCGAGCGAATCTGATATTTCGCGGCTTGCGACGCGAGCCTGATCTCTGATAAGGCGAAGGCTCCTGGACGTCGCGTCACTGGAAAGGCTTGGATCACTCTCTAACATATATTTCGCTAGTAGCGTTAAGACGAAGCTCGTTTAACGAGCGACGCGCTGTGGCAGACTGACTTGCTGATACAGCGGTCAACGGATTCGAAGGTCAGTTGACCCTTGGCGGATGCCGCTTAGGTCTTCACATGGCGCGGTTGACAATGCCGCTCGATTTTTAGAATTCACGAACAAATCGAGCGGTTGACATTGTCGCTAGTCCGTTTGGTCCGTGGGACGCCGCCTCGTGCGACGGTGCTTCGTGTCTGACCGCGTGCGAACGTGGTCTGCCCGAGCACGGTGCTGATAGCTGCGTGGCCGTCGCAGTGCGACTATGGTCCGTCGCAGTACGATCATGGCTCACACGACCGTTACTCTCTTCCGGCCCATGGCCGCGCGACCGTTACTCCCTCCCCTACTCATGTCCGTGGCTACTAATAGTACCCTCCTACTCATCACGATGGCCGTTGCGCTCTCCCCAAGACTCGTGCGAGCGGTCCCTTATCTTACGTCCCAGGGGGAGACGTTTCTGGAGGCCGTGCGAAACCTGTATCAGGTATGCTTGTATCGGGTCCTGTAGGCTCAGGCTCTGATCTAACGTCCCTGCATCACAACCTGTAGCAAGCGTGTGGTATAAGTTATAACCCTGCGTGTAACTTATATTGAATATTCTACACCACTCTTTACCGCCATCGGCCGTCTCCAGTCACCCCAATGTTCCCCTTCCCAACCAATCTCCCCCGTGCCCCCCGGGCCTCCCCACTTTCTCCCCGTTCCGTTCCCCCACCAGCATGAGGACAACTTGACAACCCCTTTCCGCCATCGCGCTCCCTTCCTCCCTTCCTCCCTTCCCCTTCCCGCAACCAGCATTGGGACAGCGCCTACGGGCTGCAGTGATAGCTCCTTTCGGCCTTCCGCCGTCTCCCCCCCTCCCTTCCCCTCTTCCTCCTTCCCCTTCCCGCAACTAGCATTGGGACAGCGCCTACGGGCTGCAGTCAATAGCTCCTTTCGGCCTTCCGCCGTCTTCCCCCCTCCCTTCCCCTTTTCCTCCCTTCCCCTTCCCGCAACCAGCATTGGGACAGCGCCTACGGGCTGCAGTGATAGCTCCTTTCGGCCTTCCGCCGTCTCCCCCCCTCCCTTCCCCTCTTCCTCCTTCCCCTTCCCGCAACTAGCATTGGGACAGCGCCTACGGGCTGCAGTGAATAGCTCCTTTCGGCCTTCCGCCGTCTCCCCCCCTCCCTTCCCCCCTTCCTCCCTTCCCCCGCAACCAGCATTGGGACAGGGCCTACGGGCTGCAGTGATTAGCTCCTTTCTGCCTTCCGCCGTCTCCCCCCCTCCCTTACCCCCTTCCCCCCTTCCCCTCTTTCCCCAACCAGCATTGGGACAGCGCCTATGGGCTGCAGGTGGAAAATCCGTTTCCCCCCCCCCCCCGGCATCTACCTTCTCCCCTCCCGTCCTCCCCCTTCCCCCAACACACTCCTTGTCTCCCCCCCTCCCTTTCCCCTGTCCCCCAACCAGCATTGGGACAGCGCCTATGGGCTGCAGGTGGAAAATCCGTTCCCCCCCTCCGCCATCTCGCTCCCCCCTGAAGTCCCCCCCGCGCCCCACCTGGAGGACTGTGAGGCTCGCACAGCCTTCCGCCTCTCCACTGAGAAACGGGGGAAGTGGGGGGGGCCGCCGTTCTGGGCAGTACCCAACCCCGCTTGTGGGAACGTGCGCCAACCGCCCTGGGTGAGTCAAGGTCCCTCTCTTGGTGTCCTAGGGCCGGGAACGGGGGAATAAGGGGGGACCGCCCTACTGGGCAGTACCCAACCCCGCTTGTGGGAACGAGGGGGGGAGAGGGGGGGAAGAGGGGGGAACCACCCTACTGGGCAATACCCACCTCCGCTTGCGGCAACGTTCGACAACCACCCTGCTTGGTGCGTCAAGGTCAGGCGTTGAGGTCTCTGCTGGGCCACGGGCTGAGGCGCCTAGGCATGCACAGTGTGACAACCACCCTGAGGGAGAGTTAAGAGCCTCCCTGGGGGAGAGTTAAGAGCCTCCCTGGGGGAGAGTTAAGAGCCTCCCTGGGGGAGAGTTAAGAGCCTCCCTGGGGGAGAGTTAAGAGCCTCTCTGGGTGAGCCCGAGGCTACCCGGGTGTGAGTCAAGTCAAGAGTCTCTCCGTGCAGTCATGAGCGGGCTGCCGCCTTTGGCCTGTGCTCACACCGTCAGGAAATCGTCGTCTTTTTCACAACCATCTAAGATTTAACGAGCATACATCACCACCACCACCACCGTAGTTTGGGGGAGCATACATCGTAGTTTGGGGGAGCATACATCGTAGTTTGGGGGAGCATACATCGTAGTTTGGGAGAGCATACATCGTAGTTTGGGGGAGCATACATCGTAGTTTGGGGGAGCATACATCGTAGTTTGGGGGAGCATACATAATACTTTACCCACCACCACCCCCTGGCACCACTGTTCAAGACCTCGTCGTTTTACATTAGCATTTCTCCTCCTCCGTACCCACCTCCCCACCTCCAGATCCGTGGCTTGGATGCTGCCAACTGGCACCACAATTCAAGACTTATAACAAGTATTTGATGTAGTCTTTTCCTCCCCCCTGCCCACCTCTCCCTCTCCAGATCCGTGGCTCGGATGCTGCCAACTTGGCAACCACCCGAGAGGCACAAGCTGACATATGGCGCCACCAGTTCCCGCCCAATGGGTGCAAGGGGCGGCGGCTGGTGCTGGTGAAGTGGCTGACCATGGGGTGGCATGGAATAGGGTCGCAGCTGCATGTGCTGGGCGCCGTGCTGAGTGCTGCCATGGTACACAAGAGGACGCTCGTCTTGATGCCGGGGACGCTGCCCCAAGCAGACCACGAGGAATGCGAGAGTGAGTGAGGGAGTGAGTGAGTGAGGGAGTGAGTGAGTGAAAAGTGAGTGAGGGAGGGAGTGAGAGAGTGAGGGAGTGAGTATGGGACTGAGTGAGTGAGTGAGTGAGTGAGTGAGGGAGTGAGTAAGGGAGCGAGCGTGGGGTGGCGTGGAATAGAGTCGCAGCTGCATGTGCTGGGCGCCGTGCTGAGTGGTGCCATGGTGCACAACAGGGATGCACATGATCATGATCATTACAACGCTCCTCTTGGCGCCTGGGATGCCACAACTGGACGCCATCATCGTTGGTCCCCCTCTCCTCTTCATCTCCTCTTCATCTGTTTGTTGCTTCTCCCTCTGCTCGTTGGCTTCCCCCTCTGTTCGTTGCTTCTCCCTTGTTTACAGAGCTGGGGCACAAGGGCTCCCTCACCTGCTACTTCTTCCGCCTCTCATCCCCGGAGTGCGAGGATCTCACTCGGTGATACTGCTCCCCCCTACCCCCCTGTCTCCCTGTCTCCCTGCCTCCTGCGAGCTGGCCATAAGGCTCCCCCTGCTACTTCCCCTCTCATCCCGGAGTGCGAGGATCTCACTCGGTGATACTGCTCCCCCCTACCCTTCTCCCTGTCTCCCTGTTTTCTCCCTGGCCTGGTACCTGATCAGAGCTGGGCCATAAGGGCTCCCTCTCCTGCTACTTCTTCCGCCTCTCATCCCCGGAGTGCGAGGATCTCACTCGGTGATACTGCTCCCCCCTACCCTTCTCCCTGTCTCCCTGTTTTCTCCCTGGCCTGGTACCTGATCAGAGCTGGGCCATAAGGGCTCCCTCTCCTGCTACTTCTTCCGCCTCTCATCCCAAGAATGCGAGGAGATTGTTCTGAGCCAGTGCTTTCCTTCTTTGCACTCGTTATTGGCAGAGCTGGGCCACAAGGGCTCCCTCACCTGCTACTTCTTCCGCCTCTCATCCCCGGAGTGCGAGGAGATCGCCCTGAAGGCGCATAAGGCGTGGAAAGACGCTGAGGCGAGGAAGCAGCACGCAGCAGCACAGAGAGAGGGGCAAGGGGGAGGAGACGAAGGTTCAAAGGGAGAGAGGCAAGGGGGGGGAGACGAAGGTGCAAAGAGAAAGGAAGGGGGTCACGCAACAGGGGCGGGAGGGGAGGGTGGAGGGGCAGGAGGAGAAGAAGAGGCTGCAGGGGGTGGGGTTGGCGAGGCAGCAGGGGAGGCAGCAGGAGAGGCAGCAGGAGAGGCAGCAGGGGAGGCAGCAGGAGAGGCAGCAGGGGAGGCAGCAGGAGAGGCAGCAGGAGAGGCAGCAGGAGAGGCAGCAGGAGAGGCAGCAGGAGAGGCAGCAGGAGAGGCAGCAGGGGAGGCAGCAGGGGAGACAGCAGGGGAGACAGCAGGGGAGGCATCTGAAGAGGCGGGGGCGGGTGGTGAGGTGTCCAGCCAAGCAGGGGGTGGCAGTGGGAGGCGCCTGCAAGCAGAAAAGGACGCAAATGATGCTCATGATGGTAGTGGCGGTGGCAGCGGTGGTGGCGGTGGCGGCGGTGGTCGTGGTGCTGGTGGTGATGCTGGTGCTGGTGCAGGTGCTGCCGCTGCTGGTGCCGGTGCTACTTCTGGTGGTGCTGGTGGTGGCGATGGGTCGAATGGTGGTGGTGGAGAGGAGGCTGAAGGAGGTGGGGGAGTGGAGGAGGATGTGATTGTAGCGGAGCCATGTGACAATGCAGAGTGTCTGAAGAACTCCAACGCCCTTGTGGTCTTCTCGACACGGCCGGGATTCAACGTGGATGGAAAGGGGGACGTCATCTCCCAGCTCAATGCCACAGCTGCAGAGTGAGTGATGCATGTGCTAGTGCAAGTGGAGTTGATGTGCTTATGGAGGGGTGGGCGTTATCCCAAGCTGAACGCCACTGCTGCAGAGGGAGTGATCCATGTGTTGGAAACAGCAATCTGCTAACCGACTGGGCTAGAAGGGCATGTTGGATTGGTGGATTGGTGACCATGTAGTGGCTCTGGGTCAGCCTAGTGGGCCCTCTTCCAGGAGATCTCTGAGTCATCCTAGTGGCCCTTCACACACAGCAACACCGAGTGCATGTGCCAGTGGGGTTGATGTACCATTGGGGTTGATGTGACTTAAGTGAAGCCGTGTGACACGCAGGGTATCTGCTCCGTTGCCCGAATGTTCGTCTCAACAAGGCCGGAGTATCTTTACCCTCCCTCCGCTCCCCCCAATCCCACCTCACCCTCCTGCTCCCCTCTCCTCTCCATCTGCAGCCTGTGGGGCAGGGCATACCCCCCTGCTCCCCTCCCCTTTCCGTCTCATGCCGCGGCCCCTAATGCCCCAACCCTTCCCTCACCTCCCTGCCTTCCATCTGCAGCCTGTGGGGCAGGGCATATCTGAAAAGCCTTCACCCTTGCGAGGTAATGGGCCGTATGGGCGTGCAGTCTCTAGGGCTCTAGCTCTTCTCGCTCCAACGCCCCTTATGTGCCAACCCCTCACCACCCGCTTTCCGTCTCCAGTCTGTGGGGCAAGGCATATCTGAAGAACCCGCTGCCCAACGAGGGCATGGGGCGCATGGGCGCTCACACACCAGCATGGGTCCTCTCCCACTCCATATCCCTCTGTGTTTCTCCCTCTCCTCTCCATCTCCAGTCTCTGGGGCAAGGCGTATCTGAAGAGCACGCTGCCCAACGAGGTCATGGGGCGCATGGGTGCGCACTCCAATTTGTTCAGAAAGGTGAGCTCTTGCTGCAGCCAGGATGTCCAATTTCTTCAGGAAGGTCAGTTGCGCCACACTGTCCATCCATCCATGCACTCCAAGCGCTCTCTTCACAAGGTAAGCTATTTCTGCACTGCAGTCCAAGTTGTTCGGAAGGTAAGCTCTTGCTACAGCCGGGATGTCCAAGTTGTTCAGAAGGTAAGCTCTTGCTACAGCCAGGATGTCCAAGTTGTTCGGAAGGTAAGCTCTTGCTACAGCCGGGATGTCCAAGTTGTTCGGAAGGTAAGCTCTTGCTACAGCCAGGATGTCCAAGTTGTTCGGAAGGTAATCTCTTGCTACAGCCAGGATGTCCTTTGACTCGACTCAAAGATGTTCTGGGCCACGCCCACGCTGCGCTGGCTCACCAATTCTTGCTGCAATGCCCCACGTCCTGCCTGTGCCACAGTTTCAACTCGCACACCACCACGTGCTCACGGCTGCGTGGAAATTAACCAAAGCACGGCACGTCACACCCTCTGAGTCGACAAGGCGGAGCTCACTCAGCCATCTGTCCCTTCCCCCTTCCACCCAGGGCGGAGGCCCCTCTGCGTTGGCATGGCTCAACAAAGTCAGCTCGTGCACGGCAGGCCGCAGCTCACTCACACCTAGGGGCTCAACCCCACTTCCCCCTTCCCCTTCCCCCTTCCCCCTTGCCCCCCTTCCCGCTTCCACCTTCCCCCCACCCCTCCTTTCCCCGTCCCCCACTTCCCACTTCCCCCCACCTCCCCTTCCCCCTTCCGACCACCCCCTCTCCTTCACTCTAGACGCACTGGTTTCACTCCAGACGCGCTGGTTTCACTCCAGACGCACTGGTTTCACTCCAGACGCACTGGTTTCACTCCTGACGCACTGGTTTCACTCCAGACGCACTGGTTGCACTCCAGACGCACTGGTTTCACTCCAGATGCATTGGTGGCGAGCGCAGGCCCAGGCTACCAGGTTCATGCTGCGGTGGCCCACAGCGTACCTGTGCATCGCGTGTATCCCCCCCCCACTCCTCCACCCCATCCCACCCCCTCTCCTTCACTCCAGACGCACTGGTGGCGAGCCCAGGCCACGCGCTTCATGCTGCGGTGGCCCACGGCGTACCTGTGCCACATCATCAACCGCGAGAGGCACCACGTGTACGGCATGCAGGTGGCGCGGCAGGTGGTGGCCTCCCAGATGGAACAGCGAAACGTGGAGGAACAGGCTCGGAGCCGCAGGAAGAGGCTCGCTGAGGTGCCTCGGACGTTCTCAGAGCGCTCAGGGGGGTCAGGAGGGAAGGAGGTTGGGAGGGGGAGGAGGGTGGAAGAGGGTGGGGCTGATGGTGGAGAGAAGGAGATGGGGTGGTGGAGGGAGTTTGAACGTAAGGTTGAGCTTGACCTTGGACCTTCGTTGTCCTCGTCCTCTGCTGCTTCTGAGACACCTGAAGACCGCTCTGCTTCTGAGGCTCCTCAGAACCTCTCTGCTTCTAAGAAGAATCGGCACCCTCCTGCTACTGCTGCTGCTGTTGCTGCTGCTGGTACTGGTTCCAACGCAAGGAGGAATGGTACCAGCCAGGATCGAGGAGGAATGGTGAACTTAAGGAAGAATGTTCTGACGCAAGGAGCGCCCAGCTTGGAAACGGCTGCATGGCCACGGGCAGGGTACGAGGGGTGCAGCTTAGGCCATGCCTCAGCCGCTGGTAGCAGCAGCAGCGGCGGCGGCGGCGGCGGCAGTGGTGATGGAGGAATATGGGGCTCAGAAGGCGATTATTATCTGGCTAATTACATGGGAGTGGGGGGTGAGCCGTACATCCCGCGTCCGATCGTGAGCGTGCACGTGCGGCAGGGCGACAAGGTGCATGAGATGCGGCTCTTCTCGTTCTACGCCATCATGTTTATGGCCAACCGGGTCAGGCGCCTGGACCCCGACGTGAGATACGCGTGGCTCAGCACAGAGATGCAGGTGAGAGGGTGAGAGGGTTAAAGCGTAGGATAGGGTTTCCGGTTTTAGTTTAGGCTTAGAGATGCAGGCGAGAGGGTCTAGGATCAGGGTTTAGTGATGCAGGTGAGCTGGTCTAGGGTTTAGGCTTTGGGGTTTGGATTTACAGGTGCAGCTGAGAGGGTCGGTGGCACCACAGAGATGCAGGATGACACACAGGTGCAGGCGAGTGCTGAGGTGCTTCAAAGGCCCTGTCATTCAGTACTGCCACAGAAATGCTGGTGAGAGGATGATTGCGTTTCAGCACATACGTGCGGGTGAGAGAGGGTGAGAGGGTCTCAACACACAGTTGGGGGTGAGAGAATGGCACAAAAAAGCCGGTGAGAGGGGAAGATAGAGAGGACGTAAGTATTTTCTGTGTTGTTCTTGTACATGTGATGCAGAGTGTAGTGGATCAATCGAATCACTTCTTAGACTGGACGTTCTTCTACTCCAAGGTCCCCCGGCAAGGAGGCAGAACGCGCATGGCTAAATACACGGAGATGTTTGGCCTGGCGCGCACTGTGGGAATAAGCTTTGCAAACCTGTTGATTGCTTCGGAGTGCGACTATTTCGTCGGCGTCCTCGCGTCAAACTGGAATAGGATGATAAATGAGCTCAAGAATACCAATGGACGTTTGTATAGTGGATACGTATCAGTGAACGACGGAGAGTGGTGATTGGGCTGGTTAGTGCATGTGGTTAAAAAGTAAATATACTATTCTGATGCTTACTTTCTCGTCAGATGTTTGATACCATATTACCTCTCTTCATAACACTCTGATAAGTTACCAGCCTATGCATGAAATGAAAGCTTCAAGCTTATTGTGTTCTCTACCATTACTGAATAAATATGCTTAACTTATACAACTACAATGATCAGTGGCAACCAGATGATGTCTGAGATTACGTTCTGAAGTTTGCCCATCCCCTACTTTGCCCATCCGACTTGGTTTTGGGAATCTTGGTGGGCAAACATGGTAGGACCCAACTTTGCCCATCCGACAATCCCCTATGCGATTGTTTGTGCGAGCCCTGGAGACGAAATGCGAACAGGGTTCTGTCCCATCCAATCACATAGTGCATTCAAGGACTGTGCGACCCCGTCAGTGACCCAGAGCGAAACCTTACAAACGTTCCAACCAGGCCCCTAGATTGGTTTTGAGGCCTCCTGATGACTCAGGGGTGGCGCTCGTTTTTTGCCTGTATTTTCAGGACGCCTAGTGGAAACCAAGCTTATGAGTCAGGACAGCTTTTGAAAAGATGCCTGTTTTTTCAGGGTTCCTTACATTTAGGGTCCTGCATGACCGTGGTGCTTTTTGCATTGGAAGATCACATCACATCACATCATATCACACATCAAAGCTTGCAATACGTAGTTAAAGCGGATCCAGCAATGATTCATATTTAAGACTTATAAAGCATCTCATTCATCCATGGCAAAATCCATGGTCGACGACACTTCTACAGGTCCCTCCTCCACCACCTCCTTTCCCTTATACCTGAGCAGCCTAGGTTGTGCCACGGTACTGAAAGGCTTTCTCTTTTTGTATGCCCGCCACACATCCACCACCTCGTCCCAGTTTGGCTCATAATCGAGCAGACTGATGCACATGAGATCGCTCAGCCGTGTGTCCTTCAGGCTGCCCCGCAGCCACGACTTGATGACATTCTGTCGTGAGAATCCCCGCTCACATTCCACCGTGCTCAGCGGAAGCACGGCCACTGCCACCCACAGCTTCATGAGGTTGGGGTAGGCATCTTGCCAGTCTGCTGTCTTCAGCATCGCAGTGAGGCCAGCGTGGAAGCTTTTTTCGCTCTTCGGAAGTGCAGCAAGGATCGGGGTGAAGTGTGGCAACTCCCGCAGTGCTTGGCGCTTGTCGATGCCTGCCACAGACGGGAAAAGAGGTCGGGGGAGTGGTGTAAGGTTATGGTGGAGACAGTCAACTGAGAGAAAGAGACAACACATGTGCAACAGTCTCAGTTGTACAATGGTACATGTCGGTGGGTTTAATGGTAACGAGTTCACCTGGAAGGATCTCGTTCCTCTGCTCCGCGTTGTACAGCCCCACCAAAGAGTGGAACCATTCCAAGCACTGCACCCTCCTCGCCTGCCGATCCCAGTCCTTCGGCCAGGCAGAAACGCAGAACAGCTTTACCCCCGCCAGCTTGCGAAGATCCCCGAGGCGCTCGTTCAGGTTATTCACCATCCCTTCCGCCAGGTCCATGCAAGCCACCACGCAGTTGTCATGCTTCCCTCCCCCAGGGTACCCTTGCAGCGTGTCAACGTGAAGCTCAAATGTGAAGCTCGTGAGACTCCCGTCGGAGTCCACGCCACTGACAGTGACCTCGCGAGAACCGCCAGGACCATGAAGGGTGAGGAAGTTGGTGAGACGGTCCTTCGGGCCACCCCCGAACTCATCCCCGCAATCGACGTAGCGGCTCAGGAACAGGCTGGTGATGCGAAGGACGGACGCGTGGACGGTCAGGTAGTCCAGCTGATGGGGGGATGGGGGAAGGTCGGGGGCAAGCAAGGTAGGACAACAATATAAAGTGACGTCCGCAAGTATACCACCACGCTAATGCAATTGTTATCTCACCTCGCGCTCCTGAAAGCCCTTGTTGAGGATGTTGAGCTGCTCGAGGACGTCAGCAAGGAAGTGGACGAAGAACCAGAAGCGGTAACTGGTCGCAATTCTGTAGAGCCTGTTGTCGGGGAACTCTTTGAGCATAACCACAAGCGCAGGCAACACCGCCAGCAACCTCGAGATTGCCTCACCTCTCGACAACCATCGAATGTTGTGAATACCCTGGAGCTCCAAGGTTGTCGAGAGGAACAGGTCTTGCAAGTCGAGAAAGCGCTGGTGCCACGGGCCGGATCTTCCGAAGTACTCCGCCAGCTCCTTGATGAAGTCATCCACAATTTGAAACACCGGAAGCGCCTCTGATGCTGCCTTGGCTGCCAAAGCCTCCCTGCATGACAAAACGTGAAACCAATACATTAGCATATTGCAAGCAAAGTTGAAGACGGCGTTAACTCTTGTACTCAGGATGACATATCTTACCTATGCGCAATACAGTGACACGACACAAGGTGAGGCACTTGCTGGCGCAGTCGAGTAACAAGCCCACTCTTCGACCCCATCATGACAGCCGCCCCATCAGTGCTGATCCCGGAGACTCGCTGGAGATCCACCCCAATGGCGTTCAGGTGGGTAAGCACTAGGGCGAGCAGTGAAGACGCATCGGCTTTGTCCACCGTCAGCAAGGCCAGGTACTCGCACACCAGCCGGTTGTCACGGATGAAGTGGGCGTACACAATCAAGTGCTTCCCTCGGCAGCGGTCGGTGCTCTCGTCCAGCATGAGGCCGATGTAAGGACTCGACAGAAGGTGGTGAAGCTGCGTTGTTTGGAGCCAGGTTGCCGTTGCTAGTGTGAATTCGCCGAATCCGTACCTGCACGGTTCACATGGACTAACACACACTGTAAGTACGACGTGCAACCTAAGACGCGCACTAATCGGAGGGTCTAAATAATCAGAGAACATAGAGGGCATTAACAGAATGAAGTCCGTAGCTAAGCGGTGATGATTGTATACTCACGTGTTGTAGTACGTGCCGTAGGCCTGCTGCGGGAAACCCGTCACCTTCCGCGACGCCAGGTACTGAACGAGCCGGATCCATGTCTCGGCCGGCTCGTTAGTCTTGCAGCAGAACCACAAGGCGTCCAGCAGGGCAGTGACGCGCTCCCTCTCAAGGTCCCCGGCAAGGGGATGTTGATCGATGCGTTGTTGTCTGGTTGCCTGTTGCAGCAGATCGTTCTGCTTCTGCAGAGCGAGTTGGTGCTTGCCGGACCCCGCATGTCGTGTGAACGCCTGAGTCTGAGCATCGCATAGGCCTGGGCCACGCTTGCCAGCCTTCCCAGAAAGACCTGCGTGCTCCAAGCATAGGGTGCACTTAAAGGCAGGCAAGCCAGAGTCAGTCTTTAAAATGACAAGCCACGGGAATCGCGTCGACCAACGGGTCTTAAACCTGCTGTGAGCCTCCGCATACTGCTCCTCAGAACTCGTTGTCTTGGTCGACGACCTGTTTGGGGTGTCGTCAACATCGTCGGCGTCGGCAGCTTCTTCATCGGGCGGTGATGGCTGTTTCACTTTGGGCTGACCAAATGGCAGAACAGCCTGCCGGTAGCGCCCACAAGGCCGCTGAGAGACAGACGCAGGAGAGGAGTCGTAAGCGGGCTGAGTAGACGACGGCCCGGGTACAGCTGGGGGCGGGGATTCGGCAACGGGGACTGTGCTGTCTCGACTCACACGCGCGGCAGACTTTGGCGGGACAGCCGCTGGAGAGGCGCTGTCTGCGGGTTGGAACGTCGACGGACCAGGTACCGAAATTTCTGCAGCATGAACCGGAACGGGAAGACTCCAGCAGCCAGGTGGCATTGCTTGCACAGCCTCTGGGGAGGAAGCGTTCGCTGGGTGGATCGGCTGCAGTCGCGCTACTGCGGGTGGGGTATTTCTGACTGCGGGCATCGTAAGGATGCCCGCTCTTCCATTGATGGTGGTGGGTGCTACACGGGCCTCTACTGCCCTAGGATTGCTGCGTAGCGAAGACAGGCTAGACAGTAGCATGTCTAGCCCTGATCGAGCATCGGCCATAGCTGCGACATGGCCGTCAGCATCGTCCTCAGGAGCCTCGTCGCCGGCGTCAGCCATGGCGACGTGGGGGGCAGCAGAGCGATCAACGTGAGAGAGACGATGGAGGGCTTCTTGCACGACAGGTGAGACTGAGAAGAAAGCTAGGCAACGAGTCAGTGAGAGGGGCAATTTTGCCCCAACGTAAGAATGACCTCGACAAGAAAGGGGGGCGCGATTCGACTCGAATGGAGAGACGACAATGGGGCTGCATCTGGCCTTCATTCGAGAGGCCAGCGCAATGCATGCATCTGTTGCTTCATTGTCACCCGCTCTGCATGACAGCACCAGTGTGCTGGCGCAACGGTAGGCTTTGTTACTGGCTGACGATACCACATTTGCCTTAGCACCAATCAGATCGTGCAACATCGATGCCTTCAGTATACAGCTGTGCTGTAGGTTCCGCCCTAAGCCAATCAGTTGTCACCGTGCAGTGAGCTAGGCAGCATATGACTCGGCTGGTCGGTAACTTGGGCGAAATTTCAGGGACCTTGACATGATTTGAGGGAAACACGTGGGGGGAAGGGGGGGGGGGGGAGGGAGAGCGGGGAGCGCAAATCCCGGTATTGACAAAATCAGGACGCGTACGCATTAGAGTGTCAGAAATTTCAGGACGCGTTACATAAACCATGCGGAGTGATCAGAGTTCACTACAAAAAAACCGCTGAAAAAACAGGATGCCGAACAAAAAAAACCCTACGCAATCAGGACCGGCCCGCCAACGGGGTCTGTTTTTTTCCTGAATCAGGAAAATTTTCCTGCAATCTAGGGGCCTGGTCCTCTCCCAGTGGCTGGACAAGTAGTGCTACCCTGGTCATTTTCTTGTCTTGCCTGTACTCCTTTTGACTGGTCTTTAGACCCTTGCCTCAGTGGCTGGACTAGTAGTGCCGCCCTGAGCTGCTTGTTCAGGATTTGTGCCTCTGCAGTCTAGGGGGTGTGTCAAACATATGCATAACTCATGTTTGTATAGACTGTATAGGGTCGCCTCTTAGAGGGTACAACACTCTTAGGTATATGCCCTTGTACTCTCTCTCTATTCTATAACTTCTTCAGTTCTAAGAAACTGATGAGAAGTACCTGACCCATCATCAATAAAAACA